GCCAATTACTACGCAGCCGGCCATCCACCATAACACGACTACCGACAGAGCTCGTCTTCAACCATGAGAAAATACTGAGTCATCGAGTTCGTGACCCACGTGGAGCCCGCAGGATCAAGTTTCTGATTCGCTGGAAAGACCGCACACCCACCAAAGACAATTGGGTGCCCGTGGATAAAATTGAGTATCTGCGCAACCGCAATTTTCGAGATGCACACACCCAGAACCAAGGAGGCTCCTTGAGGAGGAGGGTACTGTAAGGAGAATTCCATTTCCTTACTTCGCACCCCTGCGTACCGCGTACACGACTATTCCCGCCAACAGCACCCTACAGTAAATAATTACCACTCGCGACACTCGCCTCGACCACTGTTCCCGCCACTGTTCACATCGCGACCCAACCTTACGGTTCGGTTGGTAACCGCGGTCTGGCCCTCCATCTCGACAATTCCCAGCCTCGGCGCCAGGCCCGTCGTGCACCCCACAGTACACGTGTTACTGTTACTACGCTAGTTTCGCTATATAACATTTGCTCCATCCCTTCGCTCATTGTACTCTTGCTTTGATAGTGCAATCCTCATTCGCTCACTCAATCGCCCTCGTATCAGGATCCAATAAATACGATAGTTATACGTGGATTTTCAAGTGAAATAATCTTTTATTGTCAGTAGTATCCAGGGCCCTCCCTATCAGACATTTTTGTCTGTTTTTTCTGAAATATTAGACGATTTTTTTTTTTTGCTTATCTGATTTCTAAGAAATATTCTGGCCCTGAAATCTGATGCATCATAAATAGATTTTTGTATGATTAAAAAGACGTGAGTGTAGGATATTTCAGGTACTTGTATCAGTTCCGTCTGAAACCGAGTCATATAGAGTATGCCGTGATTGACGCGTGATTTACGTTTACTGCGTCAATCACGGCACGTTCTAGACGTCAGAGTGCGTGCATGGGGTGACGGCGCAACGGAGCACACTGCCATTTTGGACGACTGCCAAGCAGCTCTCCCTGCTATTGGTCAACTTTCGAGCCAGCGCAGAAGTTGATTGGATAGCAGCGCCTCGCGCGACTTGCACAGACTGTTGTCCATCATCATGCTGGACGAGGGTTGGAGTGGGGCACCGCGGTGCGTTGTAAATCATGTACGCACCAGATTCAGCTGAAATGCTCGGCTGGCTCCCCCCTCCTGCTCCATCGCTCCCTTCAATAGCTAGCCCAGCAAAATTCCTACCCCTCCTAGTCTCTCGCGTATTGACACCATCTTCCCAGGGCCCTGTCGCCATGGATGGTGGTGACGCTGACGACCCCGCTAGTTCGCGCCGTCCACTTACTGGACTAGACTTCCTGAGAGGCGGTCCACCACCCGCCACGCCAGAAATAGATCTTGTCGAGCAGCTCCCCGTACCCACCCACGAACCAAATGGCCCGCTGTTAACCTGCGGTGAACTCTCAGTGATCCGCCCAGTGGACGAGTCGCCCAGTAGAACGACGGGCAGTGTAGCTACTCCCACATTTAGTGCAGTCCGATCTGCAAGAGTTGCCCGGTTTCCGAAGTTCGTGAAGTACACCCAGTCCACTATTCGCATTGCTCGAACGCGCATGCCGCACGTTCGCATTACGCAAGCCAGGGTGCGAGCTCCCGCAACTCCATCTACTCCGCAAACTTCTGCTGGCACGAACACCACGCCATCGGATCCAGGGCCGTCAACGCCCTCTCCGTTGGTTCCCGACCCCGATGCGCTTCTCGAAAAACTGCAGAAGAAGTGTACTGACATATGGCAACGTCGATTCCCCGGGTTAGTCATCTCGCAGCGCAAGGATGGCCACCCCTGCATAAAGTGCAGTGTCTGCCTGGCTTACGGACTGCCACACTGGCAGTACGGCAAGGCGGGCAAGGGTGGCGTGGATATCCAGAAGCAGACCATGCGCAAGCATGGTCTGAGTCGCAAGCACCGGCATTCACATTCGCAAAATTTCATGCATAAGCACGGATGGCGCGAATGTAATGGTCGGTAGTCAGAATGGGCTGGTGGCCCGACTGCGTATGCGAGTCCCTACCTTGTCGCGTGCCATTGCCTTGCACACCGGTAATGCTTCCCTTTTTTGACGTATTTAGTGTATGTGTATTATCTTGTTATCCCGTTACTAACGCGTGTTTTGGCTCTTTGCAGTGAGGCGCTCGCCGCCAAAGATGGCGCGACGAACATCCCCGACTTCAACATCTTCGATCAAGGGATCCGCGCCATCGCGAACCTCATCGGAGGAAGTTGCGTCGTGCACCAGAGGTTCTACGAACTGCAGCACGTGTTCCACGAAACAAGCTTGGAGATTCGCTGGCTGTCGCGTGGCGATGCGGTATCTCGCCTTGTCGCTGTCCTGCCTGCAGCGATCGTCCTACTCTGGGAGAAAGACAAGACGACCTATCATCTTGTTACAAGCTTTAAGTTTCATTTTTTCTTGTTCTTTCTTGCTGATGTCCTGAAGGAGCTCAACGAGCTCAACAAAAGGTTTCAGCGCCGAGCGGTGACTTCGATTTTATTGCCTTCCCGGGGTGCCCCCTTTGTTTGATGACTCATAATGTTCGTGTTTATGATGTCGCAGGTGGACATTACCCAAGTCATGGGGCAGGTGCAAAACACCTGCAGCAAGCTGAAGGCACGCCATGTGGAGTACGGTGTTAATTTCACCGAGGACAGCGAGCGCCTCAGCGCCTTCCTCGAAGCGCAAGCTTTTTCTGCCGGTCGCCTACCCGGAGGCCGTGGCCAAGCGCGACCGTTTGTGCGCGGAGTGGTTCGGCTCCCTCCGCAAGATGTTCAACGCTGACAATTGTTCTCTGCCATGTACAGTTTTATCACGCTTTCCAAGTTTGCAAGTATTAATAAGTCTACTAAACCTTGTAGAACCTTTCATATTCACTACGTGTGTTGTTTGTCTTAACACGAGTTAACTGGAAGAAGGCCGAGCAGGAGCTGCCCCGCTTCACCCGAGTGATAGCGGCGCAGTACAAGGACCAAGCGTTCCATGTGGGCTTGAGATTGGGAATCCTCGTTTTCCAATCTCGTTCGACTGTGGGTGGCTGTGGCCGTTCTTCCGCTCAGCACCGTGGAGTGCGAGCGTGGCTTCAGTCGCCAGAACGTCATCAAGTCCTGGCTCCGGAGCAACCTCTGCAACGCGCGACTCGCAGACCTCATGTGCATCTCCTTGCTCCAATACGATCCCAACTGGGACGACGTGGTGAATCTGTGGCGCGCATCAAAGAAGAGGCGCCCTGCAAGAAGTCAGTGGAGTGGCTTACAACAAGACCAAGCGCACAGGGGCAAAGACAGAGGCTACAGCTGTCAAGAATGAACCTGAGCGAAGTGGGCCTCCTCAGACTCAGGGAGCAGGCTGCTGAGGGTGATGCAGGCCGCAGCGTCACGCAACTTCCACGCTGTGAGGTCAGCACGCTGGCGGCTATAACGATCTCTGGCTGCGTCGCTAGGGTCAGTGCCTAAGGGTGCAGGATCGTCGGGCTTAGGAAGGTCGCCAGAAGCGTGCGCCCACAGAGACTCATCTGCCTGAACCTGGCTCTCTAAAAGGCGGCGCGCACGCAGGAGCCAGACGGAGAACTCAAGCGGCCTACCCTCGGCGTCAAAGCGCAGAACCCTAGGGGTCGCCATAGCGGTAGCGAAGGGGTGGGAACTGCTGTTGCCGAAACCCTAAACGACTGAAGGGCCTGCGTAGAGCGTGACAGACAGTGCGGTGCGACGTGACAGGACGCAACTGGCGGGGACGGGCATGACAGGCGCGGACTGGCAGAGCGCACGGGGCGCGACGGACGGGCAGGGCGCACCGGGCGCCACGGACGGGCAGGGCGCAGCGGGGGCGCGACGGACGGGGGACGGGACGGCAGCGCGACGCGACGAGCAGGGGACGCGACGGGCAGGGGACGGGACGGCAGCGTGACGCGACGGGCAGGGGACGGGACTGGCAGCGCGACGCGACGGGCAGGGGACGCGACGGGCAAAGGACGGGACTGGCAGCGCGACGCGACGGGCAGGGGACACGACGGGCAGGGGACGCGACGGGCAGGGGACGCGACGGGCAGGGGACGGGACGGGCAGGAGACGGGACGGGCAGAGGACGGGACGAGCAGGGGACGGGACGGGCAGAGGACGCGACGGGCAGGGGACGCGACGCTACGGGGAGTGCTAGCGCTACGGGCGCTTCGTAACGGAACGGGCACGCGCTAAGGGCGCGACGGGACGAAACAGGCGCAGCGGTAACAGTCGACTACGCGCTAGGGGCGTGATGGGCACTAGGGTACGGGACAGGCTCGGGCGCTACGGACGTGAACGAGAGGAACGGGATCCCACAGGATCCTAACCTAGGTGATACCGTGTCAAGAATGACAGTGTGGTTTGACTAAGGTTGGTTGGGGTACATAAACCTAACCCTAACAGTTGTACCCCCTATAACACACCTCATTAAGACTACCACATCTGACAACAGCGCCTGACACAACAGCTGAGAATACGCCTGTGTCGCTTGGAGAATGCAAGCACAGAAAGAAACCAAAAGCTCAAGTCGTAGTTAGTGACAGTGAAGACGAAGGAGTAGATGTGCGTGCGACTGTTGCACTTAGCGATAATGACTTAGTTAAACCTAGTTAAATGAGCGATAATAACTGTGGAGCTGTAGTAGTGAATGTAGGAGTAGAAGGTTAGGTTTAATACATCAGGCATTAACTACTGTGGAGTAGACGGGCCCGTCTGCTGCATCAGGCACCCTCAGATGCTAGGGAAAAACATGGACCATAAGACAGGGAAACCTAGACATTTCCGATGGATCATACGGGCCCGGAGGGCCCGTCTGATGCATCAGGGGGCTCCAGGGACTAGCGAGGGCCCTGGTAGTATCATTTATTTCGCTGGAATGAAGATACTTTCTTAGTAATCTGAGTTCCGGGATATTACAGAATTGTAACAGGTGCTGAAGACATCACATAACGAGTACACTTTCAAAGTGTGGGAAGCGGCGCGATCTCATTCATCTTCTTCCAGACCGAGCGGGCGAACACGCGGCTCAGCCACGTTTTCAGATTAGGGCGGGACTCAAACAAATTCCCAACTCCCGCCGCCTGAAGAAGCTCAATGACTGGCAGATGTGTCAAACTTGCGAGAGTGAACGAGTCGCCCACCAGATACTCCCGCCCATCGAGATGCGTTTCGTAAATATCGAGGATCTTCTCCAGCTGCACATTGCACGAAGCGGATGAGAGATAGGAATCGATGCAGGAACGGCGAACGGACATCATGAGATCAATATTCAGCCAGTTTCGCCAGGATTAGCGCAGACGATGACCTAATCGAAAGTTGCAAGAAGAGATGATGGTGCATTATTATGGCCGTAGCTAGTAGTAGATTCTTCGACCATGGACGTTGTCAGCTCACCTTGTTCGTCGCCGCATCAACCTTCTCCTCGTCAGGCTCGCCAATCTTCTGAAACCTCTTAAAAACTCGTTCAAACGCGATCGCGATCGCCTCGGGCGAGAAAGCGTTGACCTCCGTCTCGATCCACTGGTTCACGCGGCCTCGCTCCAACGCGTCATTTCCCAGCAGGCTGACTCCGCGTTCCGCGCCGTACTTGTCGGCGAGGTACCGCATGATGGCTCGAGACTCTGGAATGGTAAGGGAAAACAACCATGTCAAGCTGCGTCTTGCACAGGGAGCGAGACAACAACATTCAACCTACTGTGTCGTCCGAGTAGCACGAGTAAATGTCTGACGTGCACTGAGGCGAAAACATATATTTCAGGCACTTGTGATAATAGACGCAGCAAAAAGGGTTACCCCTTACCACGACCGACCAAAACGGACAGGCTCGGCCTCTCAATTTTCAAACACCAGCAGTTACGGCGAGGACCCGTCCATGAATCCAAGTGAGTCGTCAACGGTATGGAACGGTGGCCATCGGTGCAATTCAAATTGCCATCGGTGCAATTCTTCTTGGCTCGTCTGCATGCATCTTCCCCAAAAGCACCTACCCCAGATGCGCTCGCCGTCGTCTTCGAGAAGAGGCAGCTTCCCGAAGGGCTGCTTGGCGAGAAACGCGGGCGTGCGCGATTCGCCCTTGGTGCCGTCGACAAACTCCCACTCGTAGCCCTGCGCGGGGCGAGGGGAAGAAGGGTTGGGGTGGGTAGGGGAGGGGTGGGAATCTGTGAAGTTATCCGGATGTCATAGGGGAGGGGGGGAGTTTGGTTTCGTGTGTTGGGAGGAATATAGGGGGGGATGCAAATCCATGCTTTTGAAAAACACGGTCTTGCAAATAATCCTGCGTCTCATTTGACCTCTGAGGCCTGCGGAGATGTCGCGTCGCGTCACAACACGTTGTGTCAACGAGTGGAAATGGAAGATGGGACATGCCTAAACGCACCCTCTTCAAAAACAGATTTGGGTTGAGGAGCCACGCTTTGCCACGAGCGAGACAGAGCTTATATCGGGTTCGACCCGATCTAACGGCGTCGGGATCGCACCTCAATGCCGAGTTCGTGCAGCGTGAGCAAGACGCGGCGGACGAAGGGCGAGTAGCCCATGCCGTAGAGCTTCAAGCTGGCCATCTGATGTGAACGCGCCGCGGCTCGGTTCTGACGAGAGTAATGCCCTTCCAAGTATACTAGAGCTCAAACTCGATTTGGGAGGTATCTCGCTTCTCTCCCGAGCAAGTCACCGCTGATACCTAGCCTACTTGAGTGAGCGCGGATGAGCAGGCTGGTTGTGGGTGAGACGAATAGCAGATGTCGGAGGAGCACGTATTTGCTTTTAAAGGTTGATCATTTGAGCCGCATTTAGTACCTCCATCAAGCAGGGTGATAATCACCCAGCCCGATAGTTCCATGCGCTGTGGACTGTCACTGTCCCACCCACTGTCCCAGTTAGATCGTCGGCAAAATCTTCCGTTTCCCACCCACCGTCGTCGCGAGAGGAGGGAGGGGAGGAGGGAGCAGGCGAGTGAGGTATCTCGCGCCTTGGTATTTCGTGCGTCAGCGTGATCGAAGGCGAAGGTTCACTGCGCTTGCTGCTTGCGCTTGACGCATCGGAGCTGACGTTCAGTAATAATTACTGTATCTGTAGTACGTTGATACGGATATGCCTTGCAAATCATTCTGTTGTCAATTCAATATCATTATCAATAAAAAAAAAAGTGGCAATGCTTTTTATGCAATATCATTTATACATGGGAAAGCTGATAACTCAACGCCCTTGAAGAGATGCAGCCCTTCCCCCTCTGCAGAATACCCAAGTCCCACAACAGCTGCTGCCACCTGCTGTGGCTGTATCAGTGTATCACCAACCCCCACCACACACAGTTGCCACTGCTGCTGTTTTTGTTTCCCCCACATTCCCCACTGCTACACCTGCTGCTTAGGGTACATTCCTGCGAAGACATGCCTTTAATTTAGGCGTCACAAAAGCAGTGTACCGCTCTGCACCGCATTACACCTAAGCATCAAACGTTTCCACCACACTGCATCTCGACGTTGAGACGCGAGGCTTTTGTGACGCGCTCCAGGAATGTACCCTTAGGAGCGAGCGGCGAGCTGCAGAGCATCCTGAAGAACACGATGACAGCACTCCACACACTGCATTCACGGTCGTACGACTCGTAAAATACTCTGGAGCCATGTAGAATGGTGTACCCACCACCTCGAGAAAAGGAACACTCCGAGCGAGCCTAGCAGCCACACCAGATCCGATCAGCTGAATCTGCAGCAACTGAAATCGCCTTATTCAGTATTCTCCTTATTAGCATGATTCAATAGAAGGATGTTCTCGGATTTGATGTCGCGGTGCAGGATGCTGTGCGAGTGGCAAGGTTGCAAGGCAGGCACGAGAAATTTGGCAGCGTGCTTGATCCAAAAGATCTTGTTGAGCCCTTAAGTTCCTCTGCGAGTGCCACCTCATTGCGCACTGCTTCCACGTCAGCAGCGCTCTGCACAGTTGGGGTAGGCATGAGGCAGGAGGCACGGCAGAAAGCAGAGGAGAGCACAGGCGCCAAAGATGAAGACAGAAGCAGAAAAGAATTGGGTTAAGGGCAGAGCAAACAGGAGGAAAACAAAGCAGGGGGGTCAGAGCAGGGGATCAGAGCAGCGAGAACAGAGCACGGAGATCAGAGCAGCGAGAACAGAGCAAGGAGATCAGGGCAGCGATTTCAGGGTAGAGTGACTAGGGCAAGGGAGATCCCCATGGCATGGAGAACACACCTGGAACGCAGCCTTCTGGATGCTCTTGCAGATAGCTGAACTCGGCTGCATCAGCACCTCCCCCACTTGCACCTCCTCTCCTCTGCTGCTGTGGTTGCGAGTCCACAAACAGTTGTTTTCCAAAGCTCAACCGAGGCTGCAGGCTCGGATTCTGAGTCAAGAGCCGGCTCCGAGGCTCGGAATCTGAGGCTGGCGTCATGAGGTGCCGATGGACAGCTGTTGGCACATCCAGTCAGTGAATAGACTGCGTTGACTGCGTTGACTGCATTCACTGCATCGACTCTGTTAATGATTCTAGACGTTGTAAGCATGGACTGCGTCGATTGCGTTGACTCCGTTGACTTGGTTGACTTGGCTTGCACGGCTGACTTGAGGGAATGCGGGCGATACGAGCTTCTGAGGAGCATCATCGAACCACTGCTGCATCAGCCGCTGCCGCTGCTTCCGCCCCACCACCCTTGGTGCGGCGGCAGTGTTTTGAACCATTGACGTCGCTTCCTTCACCCAATCCTTGAGCGCCACATCAGCTGCCGCGGTAGTTCCACTAGTAGCAGCTCCGCTCTCAACAGAAGACTCGCAGGGAAATGCGGGGAGCGGCTCCCCGTTGGCGCTGAATCGCATGGAGTTGGACGGGCAGGGAATGGGGTCGGCGGCGAAACGAGACATCAGGCATGCGGAGGCGAAAGGAGAGGCGGAAATTCCTTCCGCAGAAGGGAATGCGGAAGGGGAGGCGGAAGGGAGGGCGGAAGGGGAGGGGGTAAGGGAGGCGAAAGGGGAGGCGGAAGGGGAGGCGGAAGGGGAGGCGGAAGAGGAGGCGGAAGGGGAAGCGGAAGGGGAGGCGCGGAAGTGGAGAGTGGTCGTGGGGCTCCAGCTCGTGGCGCCATCCTGATGTGACGTAGTGGCGCCACAGGTGGTGGCGCCACAGGTGGTGGCGCGGCCGCAGTAAGCGCCGTCACAGCTGGCGGCAGTGCTGAGCTGAATCTCCAAGAAACTTCCCGGATTCAGCGGCAACGCCGCGCCGCGGACCAGCCAATGCCGACTCCCGCCGCCGCCGGGACTGGGGTTTGCGCGAGCTCGCCGCGTCGCGGCGTTAGTCGACGGCGTGCAATGCGGCGTGGACGACATGATCCCAACTTTGACGTGATTGCTAGTCGAACCGGCGCGCGATAGCGAAGCGGAGCAGGGCTTGAGCTGCGACCGTTGCAGCTGTGGGGTTGAATCCGTAAACCGACTCAGAAAGAAAGCGTTCTGGAATTCGCGTCCGCGGCGACTGTATTCATAGTGGCCTTAGAGGTATGCCGATGCCGCGGCAGCGGGTGAATGCCACGAAGAAATATCCCATTTCTCTTGGCGTGGAAGGGCCGAGGTGCATCGAGGGATCTGATCTGAGGGAGGAATGCCCTCAGCGGCAAGTTATCAAATGTGCGCTGGACTGTAACCGGCGTATCAGAGTCTGATGTGTCAGCGCCGGTAACCGTAACAGACGGTTACAGATGGGAGATATGCGAGGGACGTGAGAGGGGCGGGGAAGCATGGGGGCGGGGGCGGCCGCGGAGGAAGAGATATATATTTCCCTCCCCCACCCCCCCCCAAAATATCCCCGCGGGATATTGTAACAAGGGGCACCTGCGCGGGAGCCAGCGTGAAGTGCACGGGAGGCGGAAACATGCAGCAGCCGCGTGCAAGGGTGAACGTGGGCAGCGCAGGGGAGAACGTGGGCAGGACGTGGGGGACTCATGTGAAGAGGACGAAACAGAGGTTTCGTGCCTTGAATGACTTTGACGGACTTACGCGTGGGACAGGTGGCGGAAGTCCAGATTTGAAGGAATAGAAATGTAACACGTGTTCAATTGCAGTGAGTAGTACAAATGTAAATAGGAAAGGTAGAATGCGGTCCGATGTTGGGGCTGGCCACCCGAATCAACATCTCGAGCCGCATGTCTGAATTGTAAATGTACTGTACATATAAAAATGCATTCGTAGGATAGAGAGAGTAGTTTTGCTGTTTCTCTTTCTGTTTGTTCTTCCTTGCTTCTAAGGAAAATCCTTTGGTGAAATTCTCAGCCAGAAACACTAGAACAAGCCCAAGAGCCGTTGAGCTTGTTCCACTTGGTCTCAGAGCCTGTTTTTTCCTCGTGAGTTGCTGCCGGGTAATTTTTGCACCATGGCCGATTCAGAGCGTGATGCCGCGGTTCGAGAGCTCGTAGCCAAGGAGGTGCAGGCTGCCCTGCAGAACGCAGCTGCACAGCAAGGAGCAGCTACAGCTCCGGGAAGCGTAGTGGGATCTCTTTCCCATGTGAGAGCATCGATGCCGGACACCTTTGTTCCAGGGAAAGGACAACCGGTGGTTCGACGATGGCTCTTCCTAGTGGAAGAATATCTACGCTTGAGCCATGTGGCTGGTGAAGAGTGGGCGCCGTTCGCTGGAACCCTACTCAGAGGCTCTGCGGTTGCATGGTGGCAATCGGTGTGACCTGTTATCCAAACCTGGCAGCAATTCAAGGAAGCTCTCGTTGCGTCATACGAACCTATCAACGCGATGGCAAGGGCGCGTGATCAACTTGCGAATCTGCGGCAGCGTACTTCTGTAGCGGATTACATCGCTGAATTCCGTAACATCTCCACCGAAATTTCAGACCTTTCAACGGCTGAGGCGCTAGACAAGTTTAAGCGCGGGTTGAAAGACGACGTTAGGATGGAGGTAGAGGTGCAGGGCTGTAGTTCGCTTGAGGAGATGGCGCGTGTCGCTGAACGTTACGATGAGATTCACTTTGGTAACCGTCGCAACCGTTTCAACCGTGGGATGCGGTTCAGTCCGAACATGTTCCAGCCTTTCCATGGGGAGCAGCGTGGTGGTGCAGGACCGACACCAATGGAGCTGGATGCGATTGATAAGAACAAGGAGAAGCGGAAGGGCTTTGCTGGAAATTGTTTCAAGTGTGGGAAACGCGGTCACAAAGCGCTCAACTGCCCTACCAGGCCTAGGCAGCCGGGAAACAAGCCTCACCAGTAGCTTCGGGGCGAGTTTCTGGTGATGAGGAGTGCCCCACCTTGCTGACTCCATCCTCAACACCGCTGCAGCAGGAGTCGGAAGGAGCAATTGTACTTCGGGGGCAGATTCGTGGTAAGGAGGTAAAGATGTTGCTGGATAGTGGTGCTTCATCCAATTTCATTTCTTCTCGCCTGGTGCATGAATTGAAGTTACCTGTGCAGAGCAGTACAGTGGAGAGTACGGTGCGCATGGCGGATGGTGTAGTGAGGAGCTGTGGACCTGAGTTGTACCCGGTCAACTGCAACATAGGGGAGTTTCATGGGAAGATTCGGTTTCAGCAAATCTGGCTAGACAGTCATGACATCATCTTGGGCAGGAACTGGTTGGCAGCAGTGAACCCTCAGGTGAATTGGAGAACCAGGGAGGTCAAGGTGCTGTTTGGGGGAAGATCTGTACACCTACCAGTGGTGCAGCAGCAGGAGGGGATGACCTTGCAGCTGATTACTGCGAAGCAGTTTGGTAAGGCCATTCGGGGGGAGGAAGCAGTTTTTCTAGGTCTCATCACAGAGGTTCAGCCTACATCACCCGACGCAGTAACACCAACGGTTTCAGCATCACATGAGGATGAGGAGTTAACACAGGGTGCGGAGAAGCTGCTGGAATTTTTTTCAGGGGTGTTTCCCGAGGACTTACTGGCTGGACTTCCTCCTAAGCGGGCTGCAGATCATAGGATAGAGCTGATTCCTGGATCTACCCCACCGGTTAGACCGACCTACAAGATGAGTGCAGTGGAGCTGAAGGAGCTGAAGAAGCAGTTAGAGGACCTATTAGCTAAGGAGTTCATTCAGCCTAGTTCTTCTCCGTACGCTTCTCCGGTGCTGTTCGTGCGGAAGAAGGACGGTTCTCTGCGGATGTGTGTAGATTACCGTGGGCTGAACAAGATAACAGTGAAGAACCGGTACCCACTGCCACGGATAGATGAGCTGTTCGAGCAAGTTGGTGAGGCACGATACTTCTCGAAGCTGGATCTGCGTTCGGGGTATCATCAGGTGCGGATTCAGAGTGAGGACATCCCAAAAACAGCATTCCGAACACGGTATGGTCACTATGAGTTCCGTGTGTTGCCCTTTGGTCTCACCAACGCTCCAGCCACCTTCCAAAGCATGATGCAGAGCATTTTCAGTGATTTAATTGACAAGTTTCTGGTGGTTTTCATTGATGACTTGCTGGTTTACAGTCGCACTCGTGAGGAGCACCTGATGCACCTTGAGCTGGTCCTTGCACGACTGAGTGAGCACAGATTGTATGCCAAGCGTTCCAAGTGTGAGTTCGGCAAAACTAAGCTCTCATTTCTGGGTCATGTCATTTCTCATGGGAAGCTAGAGGTGGACAATAGTAAGGTAGCAGTGCTGAAGCAGTGGAAGCAGCCGAGTACAGTGAAGGAGGTGCAGGCGTTCTTGGGGTTAGCCAACTACTACCGGCGGTTTGTGAAGGGATTTGCAGCAGTGGCAGCACCTCTGACCGATCTCTTACGGAAGGATTCTTCATTCTCTTGGGGACCATTGCAGCAGCAAGCTTTTGAGCAGCTCAAAACTTCTCTGACTTCACCCCCTGCCCTAGCAGTACCGAATCCAGAGCTCCCGTACTTCATTTGGTGTGATGCATCAGACGTTGCCCTTGGAGCAATTCTCTGACAGGAGCAGGAAGCTGGGCTGCAGCCAATAGCCTTTGAGTCAAGGAAGCTGATTGTTGCAGAGCGAGCATACCCCATTCACGAGAGAGAGGCACTTGCTGTGGTGCATGCACTGAAGAAGTGGCGCTGTTATGTGGAGATGCAGCCCGTCACAGTCTTCACTGATCACCGAACACTGGAGTACCTGAAAACACAGTCACAGATCACACCACGGCAGGCGCGGTGGGTTCAGTTTCTGGAGCAGTACGTTCCCAACCTTCAGATTGTGTACAAACCAGGGCGCTTCAATCCGGCAGATGTTCTGTCACGACCAGCAGCAGAGGAGCTGAATGTCATGGGTGTAGTTACATGGGACCGCAACTTCATCACTCGTTTCAGCCGGGGTTACAACCGTGATCAGCTGTACCAACAGAAAGTCCCCCATGACCCATCCTTTCTTTTCAGCAACCCCTTTTGGACCCGTGCAGATTCTGGTGCTGTGTGTGTACCTGATGACTCCAGGCTTCGCCAGCTGCTACTACATGAGTACCATGACAACCGGTCACATTTCGGCAGTGACAAGACGTATGCTGCCATTTCCCGTGACTACTACTGGCCTGGACTGTCTCGGAGTGTAGCAGAGTATGTTTCTTCATGCCCTACCTGTCAGGTCAACAAGGCTCGCACCACTGCACCGGCTGGTCTGCTGCAACCATTGGAGATACCCACAGCCCCCTGGACTTGTGTTTCTCTGGATTTTATCACAGACCTACCCCGCACCCCTACAGGCTTTGATAGCATCCTCGTGGTCATTGACAAGCTGTCCAAGATGGCTCACTTCATCCCTACAACTGGCACAGTGACTGCTGCCTCCACGTCAGCAGTGCTCTGCACAGTTGGGTAGGCAAGAGGTGAAGGTGAAGGCAGAAGGTGAAGGTGAGAAGAAGAGGCGTAATGGGGAGCAGGGCTGGAGAACACAAGCAAAGTGCCAAAAAAAAAAGGCATAGTGTTTAGGTGAAGGTCAAACAGAAAGGTATAGGGTTCATGTGAAGAAGTAACCCACCTGGAACGCGGATTTCCGGATGCTCTTGCAGGCAGCGTGCTCCCCCGTGCTGCGGTGCACGCATCGCCGAATCACTCCGTACTGCCCCCTGCCTATCTCCTTCTTCAGCAGAAGCCACCTCCGCCGAATGTCCTCCACTGGCCGCCCCAACACCTCCCCCACTTGCACCTTCCCCATTTGCACCTCCCTCTCATCTCGTGCTGGGATTGTGTGTGCGTTGGCGTTTGCTTTCGGAGGCTCTACCGAGGCTGCAGGCTCAAATTCCAATTTCCGAGCTGACTCTGAGGCTCGGAGTCTGAGGCTGGAGCCAGCAGGTTCGGATTCAGAGCAGTCACTGCGAGTTGTCACACTGGCTGCGTTGACTGTGTTGACTGCATGTTGTGTGTTGCCCATGTTGGTCGTGTTGACAGCATGGACTGCGTTGAATTCGGCGTTGACTTGGTTGACTCCGCTGGTTTGGTTGAATCCAGGGAAGGCGGGAGGAAGCATCCCATCAGGAGCATCATGGAACCATTGCTTCAGCAGCGACTGTCGCTGCTTCCGCCCCACCACCATTGGAGCCGTTTCAACCGTCGCTGATGCCGCTGCCTTTTTCAACCAATCCCCAAGCGACACGTCAGCAGCTCCTCCCTCCGCGGAAAATCCGCAGTGAAACGCGGAAAACGATTCTCCGCCGTTCTTGTCGAATCGCGCGGCATCGGACGGCCACAGAATCGCGTCAACGGGGGGAATCTGGAACGCGTGCGGCCACGCGGAGGCGGAAGGGAAAGCGGACGGGAAGGCGGAAGGGAAGGCGGAAGGGGAGGCGGAAGGGGAGGCGGGGAAGTCGAGGGTGGCCGCGGGGCTGGAGCTCATGCCGACATTCGTTGCGGTGCCATAAGCGCCATAAGCGCCGACGCAATCATCCCCATTCCCGCTTCGGCCGCCGGCGGCCGCGTTCAACGCAAAGTCTGCGCGAGCCCGCCGCGTCGCGCTGGGTGACGGCGTGCGATTCGTGCTCCCCATGATTCAAATCTGACCGTTGAGTCAAAGTGCACGAGAGATGCGGAAGAAATAGTGCTGCTAGCACTACTAGTAGTTGCTAAAATCCCGCCGGAACGGGGCTGGTAGTACGAGGGCGAATTCGTAAAAAAAGAATCTGGTGCCGATATGGAACTCGCATTCCCTGCGAGCGTATTCATACTGCGAGCGTAGTAGCAGCAGCTGATGAGAGGGGCGGGGGGTGAATTCGTGTTTCGGGGGAACTCGCATTCTCTGCCGCCGGTGGGTCGATCGGATGGGCGCAAGGGCACGGCGAAGGCGAGACGCGCGGGAACGAAGCACTCGCGAGTCGCGGCCTTTTCTCGCGCAGGCGGTGGTAAGCCACGCAGACTGCGTAGCGGACTTGCAACCGTCTTCGGCGGAGAAGCGATCATCGGGGGAGCAGTGAGCTGCGGCGCGCGGCTCATTTGATCCATGGGCCACACCCGCTCGTGTCGTGAGTGAATGCGACAAGACACGTCGCGGCGCGGACTTAGTCGAGTCATCCTCCACTCGCGTCTATCTTCAAGAGGAAGTTCATCTCATGAACCTTCGACGGCTGCTTCGCTGCTGTACACCCATTTTTCGACAACTTTCAACCCAGTATTTCCACGCAGCGGTTCGGTGTCTTCACCCAACCCTTCAGGCTGCTGAGCTGGAAAAGCGTGGATGCATCCGGGAGGAAAGGTACCACGTGTAGATCTTCCATTCTGAACTGTAGTTGCACCTTCAGCACCAAGTGGCGGCGCGGGTGTGAAATGATCGGGAACTACTAGATGCCTCCCCCCCTCCTTCCTCCCTCTCCAGTAGTTTCACCCCCTCTTGGTCGGGCAGATTGTTACGCGATTCGACTACTTCGGTGGCAGAACAATCGAGAAATAAGTGTATTAGATGAACCATGAGCTTCACGTGGGTGTGGAAGGAAAGCGTGTATGGGAAAGGGCGGCACTCAGAGACAACGAGGCGAGGTAGCAAGCCGCCGCAAAGCTTGCTGAACTGCTACAGTGATCCAATCACGGTACTGTGCGTGACGAGATGCTGACTACGCTTCGTCGATGCCGACGTGGATGAAGGGGGGTATAAGGAATAAAGCTGAGATTCCCCATTCCATGTGCTCGGATCGCTATCTGCCAAGGAAAAGAACGTGTACTGCGTATGGTGACGTGTAGTGCTGAGTGCACTCTACGCGTGGTATAAGAAATGCGAGGAAGGCTATTCGATAACGCAGCTCGCCTGCAATGTTGCTCGCAGCTTGGAAAAAGAGAAATGGTGATTCGTGGAGGGGAGTAATGGAGAGCTGTTCATTTGGTGGTAGCTGCTGTAATTGGGTGGGGAGTGGAGTGGGAGAATGTTTCGTATTCTATAGAGAGGTTCAATACGTTATGAAACTATTCGAAACGCTTCGGCGTGTTTAATTGTGGTGCAGAAAGGCCAATACTTAGCAGCACCTCATCAAGATGACCAAGGAAAAGCGGGGAACGCGATCGAAGGGGAACGGGCTCAGTAGGGCTCGTGAGAGGGAGAAGGGAAAGCACGAAACTGGAATGGAGTTTTGGGTTGGGGCGTGTTTATTGATAAAATCGATGGCTGGTACCAGCGGAAAATGATTGATTCAGAAGATGTTTTCACTTTTTGTGTCCCCGAGACGTACCACAAACGTGACAAACACGGCTGTTTCACTTTGGAGAGCACATGCGTGCGACCCCTACCCTCGGGTTTGACAGCACTGTTTGAGGCTCTACATTACGCAGGGCGATTTCGCCAACGCGCACTCTCCCACAGGTGAACTTGCACAGGTTTTCACAGAAGGCATCGGGGCGGGGGTTCCACCGAAACTCCTGGGCGTTGAGTGCGCGGTTCGGGTGCTGAGTCTGATCAAGCCGCAAAGGGAAGCCAAAAAAAGAAAACGAATCAGGGAGCATCTTGCAATCGACGCTGACGTGCCCACCACCAGTTCGCCAAAACCAAAGTGCCCATGCCTTTCCGAGATCCCTGGACATGGACCGCAGATTTGTCCTTTGAGCATCTGGAGAGTCTCAGACATCTGCAAGAAAGCCAGCGTGTCGTAACTTCAGTGGGTGGACTTCCAGGATCTCTCTCGGGCACTCCGTCTGAGCCCGTCCCGTTCAACCGCACTCTGGAGATTCAATACAGATTGTGTCGAATGAATGTACAAACAACAATATCCAGATCGAATGAATGTACAAACAACAATACCCAGATCGAATGAATGTACAAACGACAATCTCAATTATGAATATATGAAACATCAGGCTAGCATGCAAACAGGGCTTCAAATTCTCAAGGACCTGTTATCAAGATAGCTACAAACCAGGCAATGTAAAAAATGGTGGCAAATCCAATCCAGTGGATAAGTAACTCGGATATCGATGGCTCGCCTAGAGTGCCAACCAGTCGTTTTCTGACAAAGGCCATCACGAGAATGTTGAGCCATTGCCTCGCCAGCTCTGGACGTCAAAGAGTCAACAGGACCCATTCATCAGCCACCGCAGGTCTCGCTGAGCTCTCTCCTATCTGCACACTTTGTCGCCACTTAATTCCGCACTGCCTCCACGTCAGCAGAACTGTGCACAATTGGGTAGGCAAGAGGTACCAGGTAGGTCGAAAAGGAAAAGAAAACACAGACGCGGAAGATGAGGACAAAGGCTGAAAGGATTTTTGGGTTAGGGACAGAAGAAACAGGAGGAAAAACAGGGCAGGGAGATTAGAGCAGGGAAATCAGAGCAGGGAGATTAGGGAAGGGAGATTAGGGATGGGAAGATAGGGAAGGGAGGTTGGGGAAAAGAGATTATGGAAGGAAGATTAGGAAAGGAAGATCAGAGAAGGGATTTTAGGGAAAGGAGAGTAGGCAAGGGAGGCAGAGAAGGGAGATTAGAGAAGGAATATTAGAGAAGGGAGATCAGGGAAGGGAGATTAGGCAAGGGAGATAAGAGAAGGGAGATCAGGTAAGGGGGATCAGGTAAGGGAAAATGAGGCATGGCAGGGAGAGCGCACCTGAATGGCGGCTTTCCAGATGCTCTTGCTGGCAGCTATCTCTCAAATGCTGCAGTGCACGCATCTTCTTATCACGCCATACTGCCCCTTGCCTTCCTCCCTCCTCACCACCACCCACTGCCGCCCCAGCACCTCCCCCACTTGCACCTCCCCCATTTGCATCTTCCGCTCCTTTGCTGCTGGGGTTGCGAGTCCTCAGGCTCGTGAATTCCGAGGATCAACCGAGGCTGGAGGCTTGGATTCCAAGTCGAGAGCTGACTACGCGGCTCCAAATCTGAGGCTGGCGTCATCACATGCTGATTCAGAACAGTCTCTGACAGCTGTTGCCAAATTCACTGCCGCGTTGACTACGTTGACTGCAATAACAGATTGACTCTGTTGACTTCAGGCGTCGTAAGCACGGACTGCTTCCAATGCGTTCACTTGGTTGACTTGGTTTGTTTGGTTGACTTGAGGCAATGCGGGCGAAACGAGCTTATGAGGAGCATCGTCGAACCACTGCCGCACCAGCCGCTGCCGCTGCTTCCGCCTCACCACCCTTGGTGCGGCGGCAGTGTTTTCAACCATTGACGCCGCTTCCTTTATCCAATCCTCAAGCGCCACGTCAGCTGCCGCGGTACTACCACTAATAGCGGCTCCGCTCTCAACAGAAAACTCGCAGTGAATCGCGGGGAGCGGCTCTGTGTTGTTTGCGCCGCTGAATCGCATGGAGTTGGACGGACATGGCATGGAGTCGCCGGCGAAACGAGACATCTGGCATGCGGAGGCGGAAGGGGAGGCAGAACTTCCTTCCGCATAAGGGAATGCGGAAGGGGAGGCGGAAGGGGAGGCGGAAGGGAATGCGGAAGGGGAGGCGGAAGGGGAGGCGGAAGGGGAGGCGCGGAAGTGGAGAGTGGTCGTGGGGCTCCAGCTCGTGGCGCCATCCTGATGTGCCGTGGCGACGCGGCCGCAGTACGCGCCGTCACAGCCGGCGGCGGCGCTGAGCTGAATCTCCAAGAACCTTCCCGGATTCAGCGGCAGTGCCGCGCCGCGGCCCAGCCAATGACGACCCCCGCCGCCGCCGGGAGTGGCGTTTGCGCGAGCTCGCTGCGTCGCGGCGTTAGTCGACGGCGTGCGATGCGGCGCGGACGACATGATTCCAACGTTGACGTGACTGTTGCGCGCGGCGATCGCTAGTCGAAACAGAGAGAAACGGGAATGCTTGAGCTGCGACCGTCGCAGATGTGGGGGTGAATCCGTAAACCGACTCAGAAAGAAAGCACCGTTCTAAAACGAGTCGCGTTCGCGGCGAGTGTATTCATACTTTGCTAGTAGCAGCAGCAGCAATCGTCGGGGAAGATGATGAAGCAGCGGGTGAATGCCATGAAAGAGATATCTCATTCCTCGTGACGTGGAAGGGCGGGGGTCCATATCGGGGGGCTGCCGTGGTGTCGATGCCCTCAGTGGTAAGTTACCCTAAACTTTGCAAGTGGGCTCGCTGTAACTGGCGTATCAATGCCTTTAATGTCGTCAGCGCGGTAACCGTCACTGATGGTTACGGATGGGATTCGCGTAAGTAATAAGATATGCGAGCGACGAGGAAGCACGCGGGGCGGGGGCGGGCCGCAGGGGGGAAGAGAGATGTGACGCACGACTCGCGGGAGTGGGGCTTCCCGCACTGCACTGCCAGCCATCGGCGGAGCAATGATCAGAGGAGCAATTCCTAACGGTACTATTGGCGGTGCATTTTCAGTATTCGTGCCACGACACGACCCCGGCTTTGACGAGTCACCATGACGAATCGCGTCACCTTATCAGCCTGTGGCGAAGAATCGGACGGACTCGGAGGAGTCTCAGGCTACTGTAGTACCGCCGTGCATTGGGTAATATATTGCACTGCCTGCGTCAGCAGGTAGTGCAATGAGTCAGCGGGCAAGAAAAAAAATAAACCCCACATGGAAGGCATGCAACTCGGGAGGCATCAACCCTAAAATTTTAGGGTTGAGGATCCCGAGTTGCATGCAGTCTGGATGGGTTTTAGTGTTTTTCTGCCCGCGGGCAGAATGCTGACTCACCTTGTAGCGTCGTTTAGCGAAACGGTAGCGCTACCGAGCGCTACCGACGCTACCGAGTGAGATGTATTGGTTGCATTCCAATTACTGGTGTACACGTGTAATGCCACGTCGTGCAATATATCCTCCAAATCGAGGTCGCAATAGTATCATAATAGTGTACGCGGGAGATCGTGATGTGCTGTCTTCTAGCAGTTAGCGAGCCGCCTACCAGAGCACGCATGGCTAAGTGCTGACTGTTAGGGTATTACTACTAAGCGCGGAACTTAAGAGCTCGTGCTGCGAAGAACTACTAGCATGTACTAGTGTTGACCTCAAGTTCTACTGGGTTTGCCATCAAGTGTTGACTACACTTCGTGAGAGCGAACGCGGACGAGCCTGAAGCGTAGTGTAGTTCTGCGTCGGGCTTCCCTTCCGTTCGCGCTCGGAACGGGATCTGCTGAGAAGGTGCGAACGGCCTTGCTGGCGGACTGTACAGAACAGTACTGAACCGCTGTGGCACTCCGTGACGGGATTTTTGGACGGTTCTGGCTGGATGTGTGGTGGTGAGGTGACAGCAGCGACCTGTGTGCTGCGCACTTACACGTGTTTGAGACGGATATTTCGCATGCAATGCCGTTGCTTGCCTGTTTGGAAGGGAAGCGATTGGGTGGTGGAGTGGCTGCTTGCGCCAGCTTCACAGCAGGTTGTGTGTGATGCGGTTGTGTATGATGTGGTTAGATCAATAAAGCATGATTATGATGCTTTTATAATCTACCGTAACAAAGGTAAGGAAATTATATTGCAGCAGGGAAGGATTATTTGATACATGATACAACAACAGAGGAATACATATGGTATCATATACATGTCAGAATAATACAAACCTTAAAAAGGGGAAAACCATGTGCAGTCGGTAGAGCAACACCTTGTGCAGGAGGTGGTGACTCACTCGTGCTCTGCAAACAATCAAGGCCCACAGTAAGGAATACTACATTCACTTCCAGAAAAAAGGTGACACCAAATGAAGGAAAACTGAGACTTCTATTCAGCAAGAATGTAATTCATGCCAATTCGGCTGCAGGGATCAGCACAGAGCACGCGAACGGGGAGATGCTTGGCTGGTGACACCTGCCATCTCCTGCTGCGGCTGAACCCTCCGCTGCTGCGTCACCTGCCATCTCCTGCTGCTCCGCTTGGCCTCCTGTGTCAGAATCTAGCAGCAGGAATGGATGAACTATGAAAGAGTTGGGTACAAATATGAAACCCTAAAAGGGGCTGTACCCCATATTGGCTACCCCACTACAGCCTAAACATATGTAGTAGATATATCATTTGACACACCCCCATAGGCAAAGTGGGGGAGAGCAAGGGGTCACAAAACCAGCCAAGAGGAGCAAAGCAAGCTCAGGTTGGATCACAACGTCACCACACACACTGAGCACAAGCAAAGGGCCACAAGGCCAGTTCACATGCAGATGTATATATGCAACAACAACAGCACAGTGATCTCTACCTAGCAGAGCAAGCATGCAGGTATATATATAGATCACAGTACAAGCAAAGTCTACAGCAAGTGAGGAAAAGTGGGCACAAGGCCTAACAAAGTGCAGAAACGCTGATGATCACCAGACGGAAGTGCCTTGGTGAATATATGAGCAGTGTTGGCCCGAGTGGCCACGTGAGCAAGACGAAGCTGACCGCGCTGCTGCAACTCTCGAGCCAGGAAGTAACGCAGAGCGATGTGCTTCGTTCTGTGCTCCAGTCTGTGCTCCTGACACAAGGCAATGGCGGCCTTGTTGTCGACGTACAGCACTGGAGGAGAACGAGGCCGCTCTCCCAGGTCGGTCAGCAGGTAGGTGAGCCAGCGTAACTCCTGTGCAGCCATGGCTGTGGCGTAGATCTCAGCCTCACAACTGGAGCTGAGAACTGAAGACGAGCGTGTAGAACGCCAAGAAACAGAGCCAGAGCCAAGGCTGAAGGTGTAACCCTGTGACGACCGCTGCATAGCCTGGTCGTCAACCCAAGAAGCGTCTGAGTGCCCAGTGAGGACAACTTGGCTCCGCCCTCCAAGCACAAGCCCCATGCCCGATGTACTGCACAAGTAGCGTAGTACCCTCTTAGCAACATCCATGTGCACCTTTCAGTGCCGACCAGGAGCCACGTAGCGAGCAAGAAGGCCAAGAGGGTACGCAAGGTCAGGACGAGTGCAGGTCATCAGGTACATGAGGCAGCCCACTAGCTCTGGGTAAGGACCACTCGGCTCTACGGACTCGTCTGAAGGTGGAGCTGAGAGCGAGTGACCTGTAGCCAGAGGAGTGTGCTGTGGCGAGGACCAGGTGAAGCCGAAGCGCTGAAGGACCTGCTGCACCATGTGTGACTGAGTCAGTGTGATGGTGCGGCGTGCTCTGTCCCGGGTGATCTGCAAGCCAAGGTAACTGCGCAGCTCACCCAGGTCTGTGCACGTGTGTCTCTTCTGCAGCTCCGACTTCACCAGGGCGAGAGCCTCAGTGTCAGCAGTGGCAAAGACCAAGTCGTCGACGTACACGAGGATGTAGAACGGCGGCAGAGAAGTGTCGGTGCGCAGAAACAGCGACGGGTCAGCAGTCGACGGAGCAAACCCAAGAGCAGCAAGTGTCGTCCTCAGTGTGTCGTGCCACTCACGTGGCGCCTGGCGGAGACCGTAGACTGGCCGCCGGAGGCTCCACTGGGTACCAGGAGGGAACGACCCAGTGAAGCCAGGAGGGCGGCGCAGCCAGATCTCCTCGTGCAGGCTGCCCTGTAAGAACGCTATGCTGAAGTCAAGAGAGTGAAGCTCGTAGTCACGCTGAGCGGCAACGTACAGCAGTACCCGAAGAGTGGTCATCTTCGGGGTGGGGGAGAAGGTCTGGAAGAAGTCGACTCCCTCCCGCTGACTGAAGCCTCGAGCAACGTAACGAGCCTTGAAGACAGGTGGAGAACCTGGCGGCCGCTTCACCCTGAAAATCCACATGCCACTGGCGATGTTCGCCCCAGGAGGGGGAACCTCGTCGACGTAAGTGCCTGTGGACTTCCAGGATGCCATCTCTGCGTCCATGGCTGTCTGCCACTGAGAGGAGTACTCACCCGCGATCGCCTCAGCGTAAGAGCGCGGGGTCGGGATGTCTGGAGCATCCGGGTCTCCCTCAGGGGCAAGCAGCATGGACACGAGATGAGGCGCAGCGGCTGCAAGACACTCAAGGTCCTCCTGTCTGTCCTCAAGGACGTCCGTGCCAAGAGCACACTCACCTTCGACGGACGGAGGACAGACAGACTCAGACTCAGCAACAAGACTAGTGGCGTAGTCTAGACGACAGGCAACAGCAAAGTCAACAAGCTCAGCGACTAAGGCAGACGCAGCAGCAGACTCAAACGACGGGTCAGTGACAACTGTGGCTAGCAGACGCGTGACAGTAGGGTGCTCAGCACGAAACCGGTCAGACTCAGGGTCCGCAACGACAGGCAGAGAAGACGCAGGAGGAGACGGCAGAGGAACACGCTGCGGAGGAGAGGAAGGACGACGGACTACGAGGTGGGTGTCGGGGACAGCCGGCTGACGCGGACGAGGAACACGACGACCGGAACTACCAGAACGGAGAGGCGAGACAGGACGCGACGCAGGCTCACGACGCTCAGTAAGACCCCCTGTCTGCTCAGTGTAAGGAGAAGGAGCAGGCAGCGGTGAGCCAGGCTGTAATGGAAGACCAGTAGACGAAGGGAGACTAAGAACCTGGCGAAGCACAGAGGCAGGCGGTGGCTGAGACGACGGAGACGGCGGAGCGAAGAACAGGCGCGGCTGTGCAGTGACACCAGCACCAGCAGCTCCAGTACCCCCAGCAGCTCCAGCACCTCCAGCAGCTCCAGAACCCTCAGCGCCAGCTCCTCCAGGACCAGCTCCACCAACAGCAGCACCCCCAGAACCGGCACCTCCAGTCCCAGGGTCTCCAGCCTCCGTGTCTCCAGCAGCAGCACCCTCAGACTCAGCACCTCCAGCCCCAGCAGCTCCAGTACCTCCAGTACGAGCACCTCCGGGACCAGCACCACTCCCAGCTCCAGTGACGTCAGTAGAAGTTCCTCCAGCGGCAG